GTGGTGGTATAATCACCAAACCAGTGTCTGTCATGCTTCTGAAAAGCGTCGCGCTACATTGAAAATATCTGTTTTAGCCTGCTCTTCTGGCAATGTTAGCATATTTGATGGCCTCCAGTTGTTTGGGTTCCCTGATGATGAAATATTTTTCACCTGTCTTTGATCTCTTTAGCAGGTGGTGCAATCTCAGAACTGTTATGAAGACATTCTGCTTTCTCTTCCTCTGTTCTTTCCTATGTTGGCACCATAATGTGGAATATGGACAAGGTGCTCAGTCAGATAATGGACTGACTTTAACTTAATACAGCAACCTGATTGCTCGTGGATGCAGGGAGTGACTTTTATAAGAAGTGAATTATGGAAGAGAAAATGGCCTGCATTCCTTCTCCTCAACCCTCTTTCCCACAAACAGTGTAAGATATTGACTCTCAGGACAGGAGATTTGCAAAGAAACTGTGTGGATTGTCTCCTTATAGCATTTGCTAAAGTGAAGCACCCTGCTTTCCTCAAGCTAAGAAATCATTTTCCGTTTGTTTCTTTCAAAGATTTTAGTTCTGAAACTGAAGCATGCCAAGATTTTTATTCCCGGGACCATGTACCCTCTGACTATGTATTCCTAAGAACTTCCATTTAATTAACTCTCATTTCAGTGAATTGTTGTGTGTTTTATTCTTTCTTCTGTGCCATCTCTACAGTACTTTACAGTGAGTTAAAAGAAAATCTGTTAATATCTTCATACACACACCCCTTTTGTACCACCACTGCGGGTTGTGTGCAAGGTCTGATGCCTCGTCATCAGGCAAAAATTTCGGATTAGGAGCTGAGATAGTCTCTGACGTCTACAAAGAATGGTCGGTTTGTGCAGGTGAAAGATGCCAGCTTCATGACACTGTTTTGTTGGTAGAATTGGGGAGGGAGAAGATAGAAGTAAGTCTAAATAAAAGACCCAAGAATTTGACTTTGTTGCCTTTAGGCTAAGGTATAAAAGGTTGCATTTTGCTACTTTATCTCTTTGCCTGCAGTGTTGGTTCTTTTTATATTGTCATGTCAGGTACCATAGTGTAGGCAGCTGGCTCCCTCTTTTGCTGACCCATTCTTGCAAGTGGAGAAGGAAGAGAACCCCATCTTTATCTCAAAAGAAACGGTAGTATAAATATTCAGGCTTTTTTTCAGTTAAATATTGAAGACCTTGAATAAGAGCCAAGAAAAGCCAATCATGAAACAGTAACACGGGTTTAAGAGCCAAGGATCCTTATTTATTGTTTTAAATGGTCCGATTTATTTCCCCTGGTGAAATAAGGGGAAGAGAAAGATGGAGGTTTGTGTGTTCTTTCAAAATCTCAACCTTTCTTCTTCTTCCCGTGTATGCTTTAATTCCCTTGTCCCCCCCATGACCTGTATAATGCTGCCACTTTCCTTCTGTGCAAGGAGAACTAGATGGCAAGGTCTCTAAAGTCAGTCAGCATTGTTCCTTAACAACTGCCCCTGCTGATGATTAAGTGACATTGATTAATATGTACACAGAATAGCTAAGTTATAGAACATGTACACTGGGCATTGTTGAGGTCAGGCTCAAGCCACCATTTGGAGTGTGCCACAGGAATGGTCAGGAGAGAACTTCTTGCAAACTTGTGGAGATAAGAAATTAGGCAGCAGATGTCTTGCAAATTATACTCCTGGTCCTTCAGTGTGCTGAGTACCCTCAACTCTCATTGAACTCCTTGGAGTTGAAGGCTCCTAGTACTTTTCAGGAGGTACTCCGGACTATGTAAGAGAGGACCCTACATAAATAACATCACTATCTTAGCTTGAGTAGCAAAAATGGACCATTGGACTAGCTTCCACACACAGTCTTGCAAAAGTGGGCTTTGGGGCTAGTTTCTGCATGCAGTCTGGGAGATCAGTTGTTAGTTTAATTTGTACAGTTTTTGTGTAATATTTTTCATAAATGCTTACTTATTTAATACTTTTTAAACCTGTGATTCCATTATGGGATGTCATATTTCATGGTGATAACACCTAGAATGACAAAAATTGGCAGGTGTAGTAGAATGATGCTACCTTCTGAATCACAACCCATAAGTTGTGTGGCTGCTCATTCTTTCCATTTCAGATGTAGACGACAAACCACAAGTGACAGATACACACAGAAGTCATGGAAAAACTGAAGTTTAACAGTACCATCTCCCCCAGTAACCTCCTTGTATTCTCAGGATTATGTGGGCTACACACATCTGAATTTAAGGTGATCCTTATTCAGTCCCTGAGCTGAAGAAAGTCTGTTCTGCTTGAGACTTAGCAGATGGGACATCATAGAGATTCTCTTTCTCCATCCCTGCCTACTTTCCGGGTGACAGTAGCATGTTATTGGACGTTTTGTGCAACAAATTAAAATAGAGCTTTCAGTCTTAGTGCTCCTCATTGCTCAGGGTGTGTTACACTTGCTCTTCAGCTACTTTCATTTATTTCCTTGGCTTAGTAAATTCAGCCTGTTTTCACTGCTTCTTTTAATTTCAAAACATCCTTCATACAAAAGTATCCACTCATACCAGAAGCCCAAGAAGTGAGTCAGGCAGTTACCTATGTTAGGTCTAATTTAAGCAAAGCAGCCAGTAGCAGCATTGGAAATAAAAAAGTTCATAAGAAAGCTGTTGGTTTTGTTCCTAACTTGCAGTCCAGTGTCTTGCTTCATTTAATGAAACTATTTTTGATTCCACCCTCACATATTCTGATAAGCTTTCTTTGCCCTTTGAACTCTCTGGACAGCTCATTTCGTAGCTTAAACTCTTATGGTGTGTCTGAATCCATCACAAACCCTAATGCTGCCCAGGTGATGGCTCTGAAGATTGTCTTAACGCATATGAATTTTCATGGACTCCAGCCTTCAGTTGTGTTGAATGCTTCTCCAATTGTACAGTGTATGTCCTTGGTTTATTTTCTTCTGTCTTTTTAATTCATTATTTTGATATCTCTGTAGTTTTTGTACAAAATGTGTCAGATAATGGCCAGTTGGTAGTCATCGCTGCAACATAGCAGTGATGTTAGCTTCTGTGTTTGTAAATAAAGAGGTATGTTTTATTTCTTAAACTTGTGGGTAAGTCTCTGTGTTCCTTTCATTCTATTATTATTATTTGTGTATTGTGGTAATTGTGACACTCCCTGGAGGTCCTAGCCATGGATCATGACCTCATTGTGCTAGGTGCCATAGAAACTTAGAAAACAACCATCTCTGCTTCAAAGAATTTACAATCTAGGGATTATTTATTTATTTTGCAGCAAGAATTTGCTTGAAAAAATTTCTTTATTTAACAAAAACAAATTCTTAGTCTAATAAAAATATTTCCATATTCTATTAAACAAACAAAAAAACAGTGCGAACAGATGGTCTTAAGTATGAGTTTGCATTTGTGTGCAACACAAAAGTTCCTGGACAGAGAACCTGAAAGTGAAACTGACCATAAGGAAAAGAGAAATTGACTTAATTGAATTTATGTTCCAGTACTCTCATGCTATGCTGAGCTTAGTATCGATATTGAGAGAATGTAGAGATGGAGAAAGTGAACAGCATAAATAGAGAACAGTAAACTGGATTTTAAAAATTCTTTCAGATTTAATAATCTAAGGTAGTGGTGGTAAGAGAGGTGTAGTTATTTGTTAGCACTGTTCATTTTTAAGGAAAAAGTCAGTGTTCCTGCAATCTGACCATAGGTAATCCTGATCTTTAGTAATATCAGTTTGCTGGTCAGGGACTACTTTTGTTTACTGGACTATTGTCACAATACTGTATCGCTCCATCAGAAATAAATACTATGTTTACTTCTCATGACACATGATACTTGGCACTTCATTGCACCTGTCTTCGAAGACTTTCACAGCTCTTTGTGAACCATTGCTTTGGAACCATTCTCTTCTCTCCCTGCACCAACACCTGTGTATTGTAAGTGGTGGCTTCCATTTTGCTAATGTATCAATTGGAACGTGAAGGTTGTGACTCTCCGACGGTCACTCAGTGAGTCAGTAACTGAGTCCAGAATACAACCTGGGAGTCAAATTCGCAGCTAATATAAGTGGCATTTGAAGTCAGTGCAGCTGCAGCCACCTCTGCAGAACCTGGGGCTCCTGACTCCCAGCCTTACGCATGAACGCTGATACTGTCAGCTCAAATGGGGCTGCCTGGCTTTACTAACTTCAGTATTCTAATGTGCTGTGGCCATTTTGGAGCTTTCTTCATCAAATCATCCATTTAAGATGCTTACCTGGATGAGTGCAACGTTCTTTGTGCCATCATCCTGCCTCGTGGAAGGCTGGAATGGTAGGCAGGAGTGGTGTCCCTAGCCTTTGTTTGCCAGAAGCTGGGAACGAGCAACAGTGGATCACTTGATGATTACCTGTTCTATTCATTCCGTCTGGGACACCTGGCACTGGCCACTGTCGGAAGACAGGATACTAGGCTAGATGGACCTTTGGTCTGACCCAGTAGGGCCATTCTTATGTTCCTATGCTGGTTTATGACATCATCATTGTTTCACAGTAGCATGTGTTATGGAAACTTTAGAGACTTAATTGAGCCATGGAAGGAAGTGGAGAACCAGGTCACCTCTCTGCATATACAAAATGTCTGCTGTCCTATTAGAAAGGAAAATAGCCAAGCATATAAGTGGTTATATTAAAATATTTACCAGTTTGCCTTTAAACTCTTGATGTTCTGATGACAATGAAGTCAAAAGCTTATCTTCGTGATCCTGGAGATTTGGGGAATGCTTTAAATTTCAAGGTACAAATATGTAAGACAGTACTTCTCACATGGTAAGTACTATTTTCCTATTGTTTTGTTGGCATTGTATTGGGGTTTCAAGATTTTATTATGGATTGTGTTTTATAGTTTGGGGTTGGAGAAATTCAACTGGAATAACTTCTCTTTGCTGCAGAAGTTGTTTTAAAATCATTTTTCGGTTCTCCCTTTTGCTCCCTGAGAGTTTAAATTAAAATATTTTGTATCAAAGGGGGTTTCCTGTTGTTCCTGGAGTTGAGTAGTTTAAAATGAGCTATGAAACATCTGTTATAGAAATAGGAACCCATGTGACGAACAAGGACTAACCTATTAATAGGTTGCATTTTCTTTAGCAGCGTTTCACTTCAAGTCCTTGTTCTTGGAGGATTTAATGTATGTGGGGAGTTAGTTCATGAAGATTCTGCTGCTGGAATTTCGGTAATAAGTAGGATGAACACTTATGAAGAATGACTTGCACTTGTTGGACTACTAACTGCCATTGACTTAGAAGTGGCTTATGAAATTGACTATGCAGAGATGAAGACCTTGGAAAACAGTTGTATCTGTGGGACATTAGCTTTTGGTTTCTATCTGCCTTTGTTGGCAGCTTCCCTTGAGACAGTTACCATCCCAGCGCAGCTGAAGTCAGCAGTGGCTAAGGTTTTGGTCAGTACCACATCCTGCAGTGTCACCTGTGGCCTGGGCTTCAAGGTGGAGGAGATATGTCAGATTGATCCGCATGGCAAAAAGAGTCATTGTATCTTCCGCAGGTCAGACTGCCTGACCAACTGGATCTGTGGGTTACTCCATTTCACTGTCCCCGTTGGCAAACCATTTGAGCTCAGCTGCCTGACTTCTGAGATGATTGGTGTTGGCAGTCAGGCCTTTATCTACACTTGGAGGCTTGCCAGAGGCATAATCACCACAGATGATCTGCTTTTCAAACCTTTCAAGACCCCAGGCTATGTCATTAAACTTTCCCCTGCCAAAGAATCTGATGCAGGGACTTACAGGTGTGATGTGCAGCTGATGAAGACATTCAAGCTCGTCAAGAGGATCTACTTTGGGCTTCGAGTGATCCCTAATGATTTAGTGGATCTGAACTTTCAGAAATCCTTGACTCTGGAACAGAAATTAGCAGCAAATGAAAAGGAAGCAAACCAACAGAATGCCACCAGTGTTGTAGTACAATGGCATCAGCAGCCTTGGCAAAGAAGGGCCTTGTTGGTGTTCCTGATAGGAATTGGAAGTGGGGTGGCAGGAGGTGTGTTGGTGGGCACAGTTCTCTACTTTTTGCTGGAGGCTCGCAGGAAAAACAGACCCACAGAGGAGTGAACTGCTTTTTAATGTGGTCTCTCCTGACAGAAGGATAGCTTATTGCAATACTTATGCTGTCTTAGTGGCAGTATTTCAAACTGATGTAGGTGTGTGTTTCTGATAAACTGAGATTTAACTATTAAAGCAATAAAATAATCTCTCATAATGTGCTTGCTTTTAGTTTCATAAGTCTGTGGTACGTCACCACAGGACTTCGGAACCAGGAACTCCTGAGTCTTAATGATAGCCCTGCTGCAGACTTGGGCAAGTTACTTAGAACCTACATTTTCAAAAAGGTCCATTAATTTTGGGTGTCCAACGGAGCCACCTAAGACTTGAACTTTAGGAGGGTATAGATGATTGTTGATAGAGTAGACTGCTCATTGCTCACCAGTTGCCATCCTGCTACCCTCTGACTAGTTCAGAACAGTATTTCCCTAGCTAGTATTGATTCCACTACTGGCTTTTGCAGCTAGTTTTCTGGGCTCCCTCTCCATACCTTAATTGTACTGCAGTAGTGCATATAGGTCCTGCCTGAGATTGGAGCTCCCTTGTGCTAGGTGCTGTGCAAACATGTAGTGAGACAATCATAGTACTGGAAGGGACCTGAAGAGGTCTTATAGTCCAGTCCCCTACACTCAAGGCAGGACTAAGTATTATCTAGACCATCCCTGATAGATGTTTATCTAACTGACCCTTAAAAATCTTCAATGATGGAGATTCCACAACCTCCCTAGGCAATTTATTCCGGTGCTTAACTACCCTGACAGGAATTTTTTTCTAATTTCCAACCTAAACCACCCTTGCTCCAATTTAAGCCCATTGCTTCTTGTCCTATCTTCAGAGGTTAACAAGAACAAGAGACACTCCTCTTTGTAATGACCTTTTATGTAGTTGAAAACTGTTATCATGTCCCCCCTCAGTCTTCTCTTCTCCAGACTAAAAAAAATCCTATTTTTTCAATCTTCCCTTATAGGTCATGTCTTCTAGACCCTCAGTTCAATCATTTTTGTGCATTGTCTACCTTATCGCATTGCCCCAGTGATGAACTTCGTTGCTGGGTCTCCACTGCCTTTTCTGTGGGTGCGTATGCGCTCTCTTCCCCACTGGACCTTGGACAGTTCTAAACCCCAATCATGCAACAGTTTGGAGCCACTCAAGCTTCCTTTGCAGGCCAGAATGGGGAGGCTGCAAGCATTAGCTGGCACAACCATAATTTTCATCTAAGTTGGCACATGTACCGGGACCCAACCACTTCAGAGTATGGATAAGTCCTCCTTCAGCCATTCAGAAACCAGTTTATTCTTAAGGATTTTTTTTTTTTAAAGGATTCAGTGCTCTTATGAATCTGCTGATGTCACTTTCCCTGTGTTGAGAGAATAAATCACGTAGCAATCAACAGTAGGGAACAGTGCCCCACTGGCAGTGAGATCCACAGAGGTCTTTTCTCACTCTAGTCTCTGTCTCTGGTTTACTGGGTCTTTCACTCTGTGAAAGAAATTAGGAAAGCAGAAAAATCTACAGTACATCTAATTCAGGGAAAAATTATGACAAGCTTTAGTACTGACATTTGAAATGTATTATGCAAATCCCCATGGTTACTTCTTTACAAAAATGTGATATTTTATGGCAGAAGGGGATGAATACAAAAGTAAACAAGTTCTCTGCAGAGCATCTTCGAAAAAGCCAGTATGAAATATATTATGTTTAAATACACAGGGCTGGGTCTTCAGCTAGTGGAAACTGGCACAGCTCCTTTGACTTCTGTACCTTAATTGCTAGTCATTGAGAGTGCGCATGCTGCAACCTCTTTGAAAAGTCAATTTGATTATATGGTTATAATAAATGACTGTCCGTTACTACTTTGTTTCAGTTTCCAGAGCAAATTCCTACTTACTCCACAGATGTATTTGCAACAATGTTTCTTCAGTTTAAAGGACTTCTCAGAAAAATAGGGCTAGAACCCAAGCTCTGGAAAATAAAAACTGTATTACCATGCTTGGGGAACAATAGGTGCGAGGTTTCTTTGATGTACTTGCAGCATTTCCTCTCTTGTGCTGGCCCTGAAAACTGGCCTTGTGGGACTACGGTAGGTCAAGGATTTATCCATAGTCCTCCAGGGTAGTGAGGAAAGTAAGATCTGTGAGTTGCTACCACTTGGCTATATAAATGAATGTAAATGCAGAGGAAGAGGAATTCAGGGTCACCACTGGGGGTAGATATGAGGTGCAAATGAAGGCAAGGAAGATTTAGGCTGAGTACCAGGAAAACTTTCTTTTCTGTGATGTCCATATTGTGATATAATCTCCTGTGAGAAGTCTCCAAATCCCTGTCACTTATAGATAACGTACTGTAGGGAGAAAAGTCCTGCACTGGCAGAAGGGAGAGGGAGACTAGACGCCTCTTCTGTATCTGTTTTCTAATAGTCCACGGATGTGCATGCGTGCCAGTGTTACTGAGAATTCAGTGTACTCTGTTGGCTTCCTGCAGGGGGTCAGTGGTACGTGGAGCTGGTCACAAACCTGTGTTTCACATTTTGCTGAGCCCTGTCGGATGTCCACTCTGGAAAGAGACATTGGAGCTCTACACTGTGGTGACTGACAACAAAGGGCTATACATTGTCCTGCCATCTAGAGATTTGGTCCCATGGGATAGAAGCTCCTGGATAGTGATCCAGTTGTCCAAGACTCTCCTGCTTCTCCTCTTCATCAGCTTCTTCTGACTCAGCTCAATAATACTAAGATCTCTTCTGCGCTCAGTCCCTGTTCTGTCATCTTCCTTCAGCTGCTCCATCCGGCTTTGCACCATAAGCTCCTTTCTTTGTTTCTGCTGCTTGGACAAGAGCAAGTGTTGCCTCCTCTCAGCCTTGTTCCAGTACTTCCCAGTCTTCAGCTCGCTCAAGGCATCGTCATCTGTTGTCATTCCACTGCGTTCCTCCATGATCCTCAGTGCCCTGTCCTTTAGCAGCTGACTCTTCTGCTGTTTATTCAACAGTTGTCTGCTCCTTTTGCATGTCAGGCTCCACCTGTTCCCCTCATCTAGTTTGCCCTGGATGCCTTTGCTGCATTGATGTGAGAGCATTGGTGGACTAGGCTGGTTGCTTAAGCCCTCTACAGAGGCGTCTTCCTGCACTAGGTTCATATAGCTCACGTAACGGCGTGCATGATACGGAATCACAAGTGCTTTTGGTCCAGTAGCAATGTTCTCGGGTGTAAGAGAAACTGGTTCTGGCTCCTTCTGCCCTTCTGTTGATTTATCCACATTTGCTTGTTTTCTGACTCCATTCACTGCATTCTGAGGACGAAGTCCAGCTTTGTGGTTTGTCCCTTTTTCTTCGCTCATGGCGCTGTCTCCAACCAGTGGAGGGCAGTCTGCATGAGACTGGCCCAAAGGATACTTAGCAAGCCATTGGTCTTGCAGTGAGGATTGCTCAGACCCCTCCTCCTGAGCTTCTGAAGCATGTGGTGTTCTTTGGTCTTGATTAAGAGTCTTAAACAACTGATATTGGTGGCATTTTCTTTCCAAGATTTCTTGAAATCTCCTGTACTCTTCTGGGCTTACACCATAGAAACTGGAATCACTTAACTCCTCGTAGGTTAAGAACTCCTCAGTAGCTAGCTCACTACTTGCACGTGTCCCGCCCGCACGGTGATCTGCCCTCTCCCTCTTCTGGACATAGGGGAGTTCAGCATCCATATCGGGTCCTGAATTCTCATCCAGCTGGGTGCTTCCATCGGTACAGCCAACCCCACTGTCCCAGTCATGGGGGAGCAGAAATGTCTGCTCTCCTCCCTTTTCATCCTCCTCATCTTCCTCTTCTGTCTAAAAATGAACACACACACACAGTTTTTAGTTTTTCCTAATGCAGTTTTCCTACCCAGCTATGCAGGAGTCCCTAAGCCAGCTATCAAGAAATGGAAACACAGCACTCAGTAAGCTACTGCAGATGGATTACAATGCATTGCAGACTTCATGGGAGTGGAACATTTCCCATCTAATGCATTACATCAAAGGCAGATTATAATAACTGGCTGAATAGGGAAATGCAGGATTAATGGAGTCTTGTAGCAAATTATATTTTAATTTGCCTCCTCACTCGCTTCCATGTTATCTTCCTTGCTTCTCACTGAGCAGAATATTGTTAAACTCTAGGGAGATGCTCTGAGGCATTTTTATTGAGACTTGCTTTGGAAATACATTGCAATGCAAACGCATTCAAATCCCAGCCCTCTACACAGCTCTACCAGTACCTTTCAGTCCTAACCTACAACACCTTTCTATTGCAGGCATGGACGGACCTCTACTGAGCAGAGGTTGACCAAACCATAAACCACAGCACACTGGACAAATATGGGATCAAATTTCATTCCTGCCTCAACCCAGGGCTTAGCACCGTCCTTCAGAAGTTCAAGAGTTGCCCGTCACCCTCTTCGGTCCCCATGTTTGCTGTATAAATACGTTTGGGCCTGTGCTTACCAAGCTCAAGCAGATGCTGTAGTTATCTTTAGGGGTGGTATGACAGCTGCTGAAGCTCAGCTCCTTTTGACGAACGAGGGCCAGTTCCTGAAAGAGAGAGAAACAAAATGTTACATGTACAGAGAATGTTATGTCTAATTTAGCAGCCCTGACTCAGGGTAAGGCTGAGGTGGCTGAATAAGATTTTCAGAGCCTGACTGCTCCAGTTCCCTTCCTCCCCAGCCCAGGAGAGGAGTCTGATTTGATTCCATTATTAATTAGTATTTATATTAGCATAGTGCCTAGGAGCCTCTCTATGTACAAAGGCAAATATGAAGAGGGAGAAATGCTACCTTGTAGTCCAACTCTTCTTCGTTTTCCACGTCACGAGGTGCAGTTGGCAGGTAACCAAGTTCATTGTCATCATTCTGATCTTGGGGCAGCAAGTAATTGTAGCAGGACCTGCGGGGAGTGTTAAATAAAAGACAGACAGTGATCCCCTAGGAGGATGGGTGTGGCCTATGAATCTGAAAGCTTTCCTTTTAAATGTCATACACTCAGGCAGCGGTAGTGGTTTGCTCTTATGGTGTGATTGGCCAAAACTGAACGGGCAGGGCAAGAGCTAGATTGGGCTATACTCAAGTTACAGGATGTCGCCCATTAGAAATC